TTCTGTGCTACGCCTCTTGTGATGTGAAACCAGATTAGCTGTCCTCCAGTACTCTGGCACCTCCCCTGCAGCCAGAAACAACTTTAAAAATTGCATCAGAGCTCCTATAATTTCAACTCTCTTGCCATTATTGCTTTTAAGTTAAATATCTAAATTTTCTTGACAATACAAGATTGAGCAGCACTGTACACAGCGTTGACGACAGTATAAAATTATAACGGTATTTATAGAATAGCTAGAATGGGTAAAAGCTGTATCAGATGAATTTTAATATAAGCAAGTGTGGTATTTTCCATTTTAGACCGAAAAGGAGAGATCAGAATATTTTTCTTGAAGGTATAAAGTGAAGTGCAATGGATGCCCAGTGAGATTTGGGGATGCAGGTGCATAGCTCTTTCAGATGCCACGAACGAGTACAGAAAGCAGTCAAGAAGGCTAATGGAATGCTGGTCTTCATTTCTAGTGGGCTGATGTATTGCAATGCAAACATTACACTGCATTTATACAAAACCCTTTCAGACACCACTTAGAGTACTGAGAACAGATCTAGGCACCACACCTTAGGATGGATGTTTTGGCCCTAGAGGGAGTTCAACACAGGTTTATAAGGAAGATACATTAGACAAATTAGCCCTTTATTTTCTAGAATGTAGAAGGTTAAGGGACGATCTAATTCAGGTCTTCAGGATAATAACATGAAAAGAAAGGGTAGATAAACTATTTCCACTGGTTGAAGATTCCAGGACCAGGGGCATAGTCTAATAATTAGAATCAGGCTATTCAGCAAAGATGTTAGAAAGCACTCCTACATGCAAAGAGTAATGGAGGTTTGGGACGCTCTTCCTTAAATAGCAGTTGATGATAATTCAATTTTTATAGACTTTTTTTTATTAAGCAATGGTATCAAGGTTTGTGGGCCGAAGGCAGGCATGTGGAATTGGGCCATAGATCAACCATGACCTTATTGAATGGCAGAGCAGGCTTGAGGGGCTGAATGGCCTACTCCTGTTCCTGTGTTTCCAAGTGTAATATACACTTTCCAATTTGGAGTGGTGGTGGGGGGAGGGCGGTGGGGATATCTTCATGGCCCTCATGTTGTCACAGGTGTTACCCTAGTTCTCTCTCTATCAATCTGGGATGAGTTCACACCTCGGGTGGGAATCGAACACGGACCTTCTAGCTACTGTACCACAGGACTCTCCTGGTTCTCTCTTACTCATTTACTCCTTGGTTTGTGAATGATTATTAGTGATTTCAGCTGAAAGCATCAAGTCAGATTCCCTGTAAAGACTGATGATGCACGGTGTGACCTTTCTCTTTGATGCTTATTGCCTAATGATCGACTGCCTATCTAATATCAACACTTAAATGAATCAAAATCCTAACCTAAGCCAGTTCTTGCTTCTGTGTTTTCGTAATTCTATCAATCTTTCTGACTGCCAATATGGTCTAAGTCCTGCTGTGGGATATTTATGTACATTGCTCGATCCAAGCCTAAAATTTTCCTTCCACTTCCACATACTAACAAAGAGCTGTCCATTGTCCACCCACACATCTCTTTTCACAGAACTGCAGTGTTTCTTAGCTATACTTTTAGACTTGACATTGGTAACCTCAGCTGGTCCCTCTGCTTTCACCCTCTGTAATGTTCATGTTATTCCAAATGTACCTTGATTTCCTGCTGCACAAGTATCAGTGACATTTGTTGTTGCTCCCTAATTGCTCTTGGGAAGTTAGTTCAGGGTTGTTGCCTTCAATCACTGAACTCTCAATCCGTGAATTCCAAACTGCATTTGTTCTTCAGCTTGTAACAGAGATAGTGGGAACTGCAGATGCTGGAAAATCTGAGATAACAAGGTGTAGAGCTGGATGAACACAGCAGGCCAAGCAACATCAGAGGAGCAGGAAAGCTGACGTTTTGGGTCTGGACCCTTCTTCAGAAATAGGAGAAGGGAAGAGGGCTCTGAAATAAATAGAGAGAAGGGGAGGTGATGATGGAAGGTGGAGAGAAGACACATAGGTCGAGGAGGCGGGGCTGGAGCCAGTAAAGGTGAGTGTAGGTAGAGAGTTGGGATGGGGGTTGGTCAGTGAGGAGGGAGAGGCGGGCAGGTGGGTGGGAAGACGGACAGGTCAAGGAGGCAGGGATGAGGCTCGGAGGTAGGAAGTGGGGTTGGGGGTTGGTCAGTGAGGTTGGAGGAGCGGATAGGTAGGAGGAAAGATGGACAGGTCAAACAGGCGAGGACGAGATGGGCTGGTCTTGGGATGAGGTTGGGTGTTGGAGAGATTTTGAAGCTTGTGAAGTCCACATTGAGACCATTAGGCTGCAGGGTTCCCAGGTGGAATGTGAGATGCTGTTCCTCCAGCCTTCAGGTGGCATCGTTGTGGCACTGGAGGAGGCCCAGGATGGACATGTCGTGCAAGGAGTGGGAGGGGTAGTTGAAGTGGTTCGTGACTGGGAGGTGTTGTTGTTTGTCACGAACCAAGCGTAGGTACTCCACAAAAAGCGGTCTCCAAGCTATTCAATTACCCTGACTTATGCCTTTGGGCATTTTATGTAAATAGAGTATTTGAGTTTTTTGTATTGTAGCGATACTTGGACTGGCAATGGAATGGAATTGGTTGATTGATCGGAGTTAAAATGGAATGTATTCAGGATTAGTTAAACATTTTTGGGCTTGAACTTCAACCCTCTGCACCCCTTCCCTTCCCGTCCCATCCCCCAACTTTGTATTTGAAGTTTAGCGAGATTTCATCCCAATTTAAGCCATCATAAATTTATAAGGTAGGGCCATTCAATCCTATACTCTTGAACAGACTGAGGATTGTCATCAAGCTGAAGTTACAGCTTTGTTTCCTTTTGCCTCCATATATATATAAAGACATCATTTTAGTTAGCATCTAAGCTGCAGCATTACATGTGTAGCAGTTTCAGCTGCATCCTAATTATTTTTGAGCATATATGTAATCACATATTATAAGTGCTGGTAATGGGGTGAATGAAATGAGTTAAGACTAAACACATCAAGGTTGATTGGGCAAAAAATGATTGCTGGTTCCTGCCTCTCGGACACAGTGGTTGAGATTCACAATCCTCATGGTCATTGCACACTAATTCAGAGTGAGTGACCTGAAAAGGCCACTGATTGGAAGCTTCCGTTGAGATCATAATGCACACCTTGATTTAGCTTTCAAAGGTAATCTCATCATTTTGATCAAGGAAATGAGGCATGCAGCTAAAATCAATTCACTGAATTTTACTAGAGATAACAAGGAGTAGAGCTGGATGAACACAGCAGGCCAAGCACCATCAGAGGAGCAGGAAGGCTGACGTTTCGGGCCTAGACCCTTCTTCAGAAAGGCCTCATTACTGCTTGTGGGAGTTTGCTGTGCTCAAGTTAGCTAATGCCTTTCTGACTATACATTAGGTTGGATAATTCAGACTCATTTCCTTGGCTTTTGTAAAGCCCTTAATAAGTCCTGAGGCAGTGGAAAGTGCTATATAAATGCAAGTCTTTCTTTTTTCTCTTCCCTTTCATTTCTGACCACATTGTGGTTGGCGGGACCTAAAAGTTGCAACAGCTAGAATGCTGGACCCAAGCCCAATTCCAACCTGAGGCCATTCTTTAGCAGAGGAGAGATGTAACCAATCAAACAAATTAGCAGCAGCTTGGGTCAATTAGAGGAGCCTTATTGAGAGGTTTCCCATCAGTCTAGTGTGGCAATCAGGTGGCTTCCTTGAGAGCTGACCAAGTGCGGGGTGGAGTTGTGTGCATTGTCAGAATCCCAGGCA